TATAACCGATGATTTACTTATAATCAAGGCTTGGTCAGACTCCAACTTACTTAGCTTTAACGTGGATAAGACTGTAGCATTATCTTATAAAGGAGTCATGCAACCCTTGCTTTTGAATGAGAGCCAAATCAATATCGTAAATTCCGTGAAATTTCTAGGTATTCTCATTGACAGTGATCTCAAATGGTCCTTGCATACTGACTCCTTAAGGAAGAAACTAGCCTCAGCTTGCTTTGCAATAAGATCTGTTTCGAAGGAACTAAATTTATCTTCTGCCAAAATGGCATATTTCTCATTGTTCGAGTCCCATCTTCGATATGGGCTTCCATTTTGGGGTTCTAGTACAGCGGCCCAATTTGATACTATTTTTAAGTTGCAAAAAAGAGCAATTCGTTATCTATTTGGTCTCAAACAAACAACTCATTGCAAGACCTACTTCAAAAATCACGGAATTTTGACGCTTCCCTCTTTATTTATTTTGGAAACGGTTTGTTTGATTCGAAAGCATCTAAACATTTTTCCCGATAGACCTGACCATGGCTACTCCATTAGAAATTCGGATTGTAACGTTTATTTGCCGATCCCGTCCACTCAGCTAGTAAAGAATTCTATTCTATATCGTGCAAAGAAACTTTATAATCACCTTCCAAGAGAAATTAAATCCGCAACATCCTTCATTAAGTTTCGTATGGTGACAAAAATCTATCTCTCAGAAAGACCATATTATTCAGTTGACGAGTTTCTTAATGTATAACAAAGAAACAAAATTAGTATTGTTTATAATTACATTTGGGTGTCTCAAGCAGTGGCTACAATTTGTCTCATTTGTTGTTGTCTGTACAAATTATGTAGGTTATACAATAATTTTACTAATTTAAAATTGTGTTATTCTGTTTTTTACTATATTTGTTTTTGTTTTATAGTTTTTGTACTATTTGACTGATTTATTTTTTAGCTTTGTCCATAAAATTGTTCAATAATTTTCAGTAACAATAAAGCATATTTCTATTTCTATTTCTATAAAGAAAGTCAGTCCGTACATTTCTTGTTTTTACGTGTATTTTTAATAATCACACAATTACCAATCTAACTCTTCAACGTTTTTTTTTTTGTTCATGTAGTATTTTTTGAAAATCTGACCCAAGCAATAATTTGTAATAATACTCCACTTGATTATCAGCCTTCGTGTATTTTAAAACTCTCAGCCAATATGTATTTTGCGAAATAATTTCGGCACTAAATCTAGATTCGAGTAGTATTTGTTAAACCGCTGTAATATTTCAAGTGGTTTTTCGCGAAATATGTAATTTTTGCCTCTACGGGTAATATTTAGCGGGAATTTAAAAGTGTTTAGGGGCTTTGATCCACTCCGAACTTTTTTTCAATTATGACTAAATGCGATTTTATACTACATAGTTTTAATTAGAGGGTTAAAACTTTAGCCAAATAAGTTTAAAAAAACTGAAAAATTCGGTATTTTACAAAATAATATAGTGTAGTGTATTGTTTTCGATACATTTCTTCTTTTTTAAGTTGCATGTATCTTTTTCATGGGCTAACGTATACTGAGTGGCAGTAGCGGCTTGTATCACTTTAAGAAGGTAGTGCCGGAATTCGGGCAACTTTCTAAATTTTTAGTGACAGGTTTAATATACTGTTAAAAAAGGTATAAAATAGAAATTAAAAAAAAGGCGCAGATACTTTTATCTTATATATTATTCTTCTTCTTCTTCTCTACTTTATATAGTCTTTAAAGCTTATTTCTTTTTCAATATTAGCCTCCTAAACTGTTTAAGTTATCGCACCATGTATTTCTTGGTCTGCCAATACTTCTTCGTCCAATTGGTGACGTATCTCGTACTATTCGTATTATCCTATCCTCTTCCATTCTACTAATGTGTTCGTTCACTCCTGTTTCCTTTTTGTCATCCATTCATTTATGTCTTCTATATTGCATGCTCTTCTTATGGTTTCGCTTCTCCCCCTATCCAACGGACTTTTCTCTGATATTCGCCAAAGTATTTTCATCTGTGTTGTTTCTAGTAGTCGTCTCATTGCATCGTGCTTTAAACAGTTTCGTTTGCTGGTATTGGTATTGTATTCCTTCAATTCTTGTCATTGCTTACCATTTCTTTCCGTAAGTTTCTTTATGGACTCTTTATATTGTTTTTGTGTACCATAGAAGTCACCTTCCATCCTTTGTGTATAAACTGTTCCCAGTGTTAATTTTTTGTTCTTCTTACCAACTGCTTTGTTTCATATCGTATTCTTCTATAGTTGTCTCGGGATTCTGGGGTATTTGATGTTTTGTACTTCGTGTAGGCCTCTCGTTTCTCTTTACATTATATATATATATATATTATATATAACTATATATAATATATATTATATATATATAGTATATATATATATTATATATATAAGGATTATCCACAGTTTTCACTGTATTCCTTTCACTCAATTTTTTTTTTTCACCAATTTTTCCTGTTTAGCCAGTCCCCTTCCTGTAGGTTTCTTCTTCTCATTGCTTCGTCCACTTCATCTCTGAAAGATCTTCGGGGTCTGCCTCTCTTTCTTCTTCCTATCGGGCTCCACTCTGTTATTCTATTTATCCACCGATTTTGGTCTGCTCTTCTGACATGTCCGTACCAGGTTAACCTCTTCTGTTCGATGTAGTCTATTATGTCGGAGTTCATTCCCATTCTCCTCTTAATCTCCATGTTATTTATTCTATCTCTTCTTGTTACTCTGCAGCTTCTCCTTAGGAATTCCATCTCTGTTGCTCTTATTTTGTTTTTGGTTTTCTTATTTATTGTCCAATTTTCACACCCATAAGTGAGGATACTTCTTGTCATGGTATTATATATTTTTTTCTTTGTTTTCATGCTGATGTTCTTATCCCATAGTACCGGGTTCAATTTTCGTATGCAGTCTCTTGTTTGTCCTAGTCTATTTTTTATATCTTCCTCCGTTGTTCCTTTGTTTGATATTATGAAACCTAAATACTTATACTTGTCTGTTCCTTTGATTTGTTTACCTTCGTCTATTTCCAGCTGTTTTATTTCTGTATTCTCCGTTGTTAGGTATTCAGTTTTCTTTAGGTTTATTTCCATCCCATTCTTTGTATATTCCTGCTCCAGTTTTCTCATCATAAAACTGAGGTCATCCTCGTCTTGTGCGATCACTATTTGGTCGTCAGCAAAACTTAGCGTATATAGATATTCGTTCCTTACTGGTATACCCATTCCTTCGCACTTTCTTTTCCATGGTTTCAGGGTTTTTTCCAGGAATATTTTGAACAGGGTGGGGGATGTGGAGCAACCCTGTAGTAGTCCCTTTGTCGTTTTAAATGGACTGCATATTCTATTGCCCGTTTTGATAGCTACTTCGTTATTCTTGTAGAGTGCTTTTACCGCGTTTATTAATCTTCGTGGAACTTCGATGTCTTCCATTGCTTCCCATAGCTTGGTTCTAGGTATTGAGTCATATGCCTTCTTAAGATCAACAAAAGCCAGATGGACGGATCTATTTTTGGCCATTCTTTTTTCTATTAGTTGTTCGACCGTGTAAATGTGATCTAAGCATGCTTTCCCCGCTGTGAAACCTGCCTGGTCTTCTCCGATTTTATCTTGTATATATATTTCTAATTTTTCCTTTATGGTCTTTCCATACAGTCTGCCTATAGACGATATAATGCTGATTCCCCGATAGTTTTCGCAGTTTTTTCTATTTCCTTTCTTGTATATTGATGTCATATATGCTTGGGTCCATTCTGCCGGTAAGTCTTCTTCATTCAGTGCTCTCTCAAACATTTTGTGTATCTATACGGAATAACTTTTCCGATCCGTTTTTTTATCAATTCATTTGATATTTCGCCGGGATCTTCTGCTTTTTTGATCTTTAGAGTTTTTGATCGTTCTTTTTACCTCACCTAGGCTTAATTCGATTTCGTCATGTTTGTAGATTTCTATTCCGTCAATTTCTGATTCTTTGAATTTGGGGCGGTCTTCGGTTAGTAATTTTTTATAGTATTCTTGCCATTCGTTCTCTTTGATTTGGCTGATCTTGATTTTCTCTGTCTTATTTCTTTGGAGCGACTGTAAGATGCGCAATGACTCTGAAATTCTCGTTCCTCCTATGCGCTGTTCCTCATATGTGCTGTACATTTTTTCTTTATTTCTTTTCTGAACTATGGTGTATTGTTGCTGTTTTTTTTTTCTGTTTAGTATGACTTAACATTTCCTAGAGCTTCTATTGCAGCTTCTTCAATGTTGTTTTTAATTTTCTCCCAGCTCGCATTTATATCATCGATGTCGTCTATTTGTTTTAGCTGTATTTTCTGTACTAGCCTCCATTGGTACATTTCTCTTGTAGAGTCGTTCTATGGTGATTCTTTATTGAATTTTTGCCTTGGTGATTTCCTGTAGAAAATTTTTGTTTTGTATTTTCATTCTTATCTTTGCAGTAGTTTGTGGTCACTCCCTGCGTCTGCTGAGTTTAAAGTTCGCTTATCTAGAATTTGCTTTGGATAGATTTTTCTATTAGTGTATTGAAAACAAATGTTGGAATTGTTCTAATGAATGAACTAAACATTTTCCAAAATTTTGTAAAAATATAATACATCTGCCGGAGTAATGTTGTAAAAGTTAGGCTACATGTAGTGCATGGTATGTATAACGGGTTGCGTTTGGTTATAATGCAATTAAGCAGTTGAAGAAAATGTAGCAACAATAAAGATGTTTTTTTCAGGTAACAATACGCGCACAGTCAGTTCTTTCTTAAATTTGGCGTAAACTATCTCAGTAGACGCACTATAGGTATAGAGAATAGTAACACCGAGTCGCAAGCCTCTATCTATAGCCATACTGCCCATACATATTATCAGCGTATTCTAATCTATCAAATCTATTAAAACAAGAAAAAAATCACTCCGAAGACTGTCATTCATAATCAAGTACAAAAGCAAAAATAATTTAATTAGGTATGTTACACATTTTTTTATATTATAAATAAATTATCGATTATATTTCTAATGGTGAAGATACTAATTATACCATGGCAAATGTTTTCAAATACGTAACTGTGTTTTAATCGACTTCATCAATAATTGGCCCACCACCACCTTGAGCGTCTTCCCTCTCGGCTGACGGTTGCGAAAAATTCGGACGAACATTACTGCCCGCTGATGGCGAACTGTACAACTGAATCATAATAGGTTTACATAGGTCAGTTAATTCTTGCTTCTTCCTGACATATTCTGCTTCAGATCTCTTGTCTTTAGCGCCGATCCATTGGGTTATATCGTCACACATTTTTAGTACTTTCTTTTTATCGTTTTGGTTAATTTTCTGTTGGATCACGGGGTCATTCATAACGTTTCTCATTTCGTAAACATGTCTAGAAAATTTAAAAAAATTGTAAAAAAACAATAATAACAAACGTTTTAGGATAATACATCAGAAAGGGACTTAAAGATTAGCCAAAGAACAATATATTAGAATACTCAAATAGTAAGAAAAATTGGGAGAAAAATTATATATTTATCTCTCTATATGCATCCGATAATTATTTCAAATAATATCGGAGAAATTAAAAGAAAAAACAGTTTAAAAAAAATTATTAATCCGGACTTTAATAATGACATTTTGCTTTTCTATTATGATGCAGTCTGGGAAAAACTAGGCATATACATAGATAAACAAAACTTTGATCTCAATAGACTTGACTAAATACTTACGACTCTAACTCATTTCTAGCTCCTGCAGCAGCCCTAACAGCATGATCTTCCTCTTTAAACTTCTCAGCATCGCCTATCATCTTCTCTATTTGTTCTTTAGTCAGTCGTCCCTTATCGTTTCTTATTGTTATTGTGTTCTGTTTGCCAGTGGCTGTTTCTTTCGCGCTGACACTAAGAATACCGTTGGCATCCAAATCGAAGGTGACTTCTATTTGGGGTATGCCTCTAGGTGCGAGAGGAATACCTAAAAATCAGAAAAGATATAATAAAACAAAAGAATTTTACTACTGTTTTGTTTGGTAATCACTTTTTAATTTTATTTTTTGGAGATGCCCACTAAAGAGATTTTTTAGACTGTACATTGTGTTATCAACAACAACACTAGGTGGTTGTATATTAAGTTTAACTTTAACTGGCAAAAACTCCGGTTTGTACTGGTATACACTGTATTAGTTTTTCATTTATCTTTGCCTATATTCGATTATGAAAGTAGATGTTTTCGATGGTTTGTATGATTTTGATTGGTATGTTCCTTTTATACACTAGGTGTAAGACGTCTTCGACTTGGATGCGATCGAAAACCTTTGTCGGGTCTATAAAACATAGATATGCTGGTTTATTGGACTCGATGGCTTTTTTTGTGATTTTTCTTAGTACAAGTACGGCGTCCACGCAGGATCTTCCGGATTTGAATCCTTGTTGTTCATCTGATAAAGTTGTTAGTTTATTGATTTTAATAGTTAGGTCTTTTGTGGTAAGCTTAAGTGCGATGTTTAGTAGATTAATACCTCTATTATTGTTGGGGTCTTCTTTATCTTATTTCTTGAACATTGGTATCATTATGCAGTTTCTCGTCTGATATCTTGAAGTGCAATATTAGTTTTTGTATAAGTTTTGTCTATCTAGGATTATAGTTTCTCCTCTGTGTTATAGAAGCTCGTTGGTTATTCTGTTTGATCCTGGTGACTTTCTATTTTTGAGTAAATTTATGACTATTTCTACTTCCTGAAAACTAATTTCTATTTCGTTTCTTAATTCAGGTACGTTATTGGGTTGATTATTATTTTCCTTTGCTTTAAAAAGCTCCATCAGGCATCTTTCCCATTCGTTAGGTGGTATGTTATTATATTCCTTTAATTGTGGTATTTCTTTCCGTTGGTTTCTTATGAATCTCCATATTAATTTTAGTGTACCGTAGAAGTCGCTTTTTATCATTTTTTATAGTTCATTTTTTGTTCTTACTTTTTTCTCTTTTACTTTTGCTCTTCTTACTCTTTCGTTACTAAATTTATATTATCATCCTTAAGAATTTCATTTTTAAGGTGATTGTCATAGCTTTTAAAGTATATCCCATAGCTTTAAAGATTTTTAAAATTGATTTGTTTCTCTCCAAAATTTAACAAACGTTGAAGAGGAAATTTCTTGAAATATTGTAGCAAACATTTACATAATGTCTTTGATATTAATTTTTTGGTGATTTTTAAAAGACCTTTTGTCTTCACTGTTCAAATGATGCAGAATTTGTTATACCTACATCGTCTTTTTAAGCTCTCACTCAATCCTTGATCCATCATTTTCACTAACTTCGTCACATTGGGACGAAAAAAAACCTAATTTGATGTCACATACATCGCAGTCATGAGGATGTGTTGGACCATTGTGTAACACTAGAACAACTTAAATCGGCAAGTTTATACATTTTAAATGTTTTTTAACTTTCGGAATAAATGCTAAATTAAACCACACTTGCAACAAGCCTGACTTCATCCACGCTAATTTTTGTGACTTATGATAAACCGAAAGGGTAGACAAATTTAAGTTTTTGAATACGCTAGGTTTAGCAGGGATACCAATAACGAGAAAAGAAATTTTATGAGTCATTGGTGTATTTCAACAAACGATTACTGTAATACGTTCTTTGTTTATTTTAAAAGCAGAGGCAAACTGTCCACGATTATCTAGAAAAGTTGTTTCTGGTAACATTTTAATGTTAAGCTCTGTCTCGTCTATATTATAAACTTGTCTAGGACATAATTCCTCTTTTTTATTTAGTTTACCAAACTTAATATTGAATTCTGTTATAACAGCAGTATCAATAAATATGTTTTCTACTTTTACATGTGCGAAATAAATTTCGTGTATCTTGTTTTATCGATCACTTGCCACAAATTGACCTCCTCTATTAATCTTCTGGTGGATAGCCAAAGCTTTTTATTTTAAAATTAGACCGCTAATCAGTGTTCCTATTCCACGTTCCTGAAGAAACTATATAGACTTTTTCTCGTTCAGCGGCTATCCAGATTTTTATCAAATTCCATTTTTTAAACAAAACTCCTTAATGGAACGCCTATCTCTTCACCAGTTGTTTATAGTGCTTTTTCGACCACCATTTTAACCATTTTTTATTTTAACTACCAAAAATAAACAAACATAATTCGTTTGCGTTTTGCACTAATGATTACACAGTTTACAACTAGGGTGGATATCAGCGTGGCACACCGCGACTTTTACAGATCTATTGTGCTTTCCTTTGTCATTTAAAGCTTCTTATCTAGCCCTATTTTCTTGATCACTTTCTTGAAAATCGTTTTTTTATATATACTGGTGCTTTTGGTTTTTCCTCTCCAAGTTCTAGATACCGCAGCTTTGTGAGGCTTCCACACTGACATAAGACGTGCGAGCGGATCAAATTCTCTAAGGCAAAACCAGTACCAATCCTTTTTTGTCAAGCGCAGACAGCATTTGTTCAAATGGTTGTTAAGTCCACTGTGTCTACTCAGCCCAACTATCACCCAGACAGTCTTTGTGAGTGTGGAGAAGTTTGGTTTCGAACTATTTTCATGAACCATATATTATACTAATTTCATATTACTGACAATGACAGTCTTTCGAATTTAGAAAAATAAGTTAGTTGTGAACTTGGCTGAATACCCATTAATGATTTCCCTGGTGCATTACTCAACAATTTTAAAGACTTTCCTTGCATTTATTTGTCGTGGCTGCTGTTTCGTGTATGCTCAAAACCCTAAAGCAGGCTTTGGCCTAATAAATAGCGTACAACTGCCTTCTCAGGCCAGTTTATTAGCCTTTTCATTGCCTGCGTACCTTTGCGCCCTGAAAACCAAGCTAGTGTTAATCTATTTCGACTTCCAACCTTGTTTAGAACTGCTGTACTATTGTTGTAGATTATCATTGACTCATTCGCCACTGCAGTTATTGTTAGGAAAATAATTCGTATACATTTACAGTAGAATTAAAAAAATGATAAAAAGACAAAATATTTCCATCTATCAAAGAAAAGAAAATTTCGTCTATCAAATATATCATCGTTTATTACACTATTATATGCTTGTTTATATTATATATTTTTAAATCAAACCCTTTTTATTTCAGGTTTTAGCTGATTGTGTTACTGTTCCATCGGTAAGTTTCTTGTATTATCATAAAAGTGTATAAAAATGCGGAAATTTTCGTGTTCTTATATTATTTAAATTAACTGAAAATTAGATTATATGAGAAAAAAAACTATTCACAATAACCATATATGTCTGAAACGAAATTAAAATTAACTGAAATTGAATAAGATTTTTTTTTCATGTCTGCCAACTCTTCATTTGGTGTACTTTTTCTGTCATCCATTTACTTTATTTTTTTATCGATTTTAATCTCTTAATCGAGAAAATACTAGACCAATTTTAAAGTTATCTAATATTTAAGGATGGAAACAAAGAAACACCTATGGCAACTTGAAAAAAAGAAAAAAAATTAAGGCAGACGATTCGAACAAAACAATACGGACTGGTAATCAAATTAAACACAACTTAAATAAAAACAATTCCTTTTTTAGATACAACTAAACATTTACCCGATAAACGACAAAATATACGAATACAGAACAAAATGAAAATCACAAATAAATAAAATGGATAAAAATCAACTTACTGAAAAAATAGTATATAAAGAAAGGAGTAGTGTAGTACTCCTAAAGTAATAAATACATAAATTTTGGAATTACGGAGAACAATATGTAATATGTTGATAAAAAAGTATTTACCTGTCAGTTCGAACTTTCCTAAAATATTATTGTCACTTGTCATGGTCCTCTCTCCTTCATATACCTGTACCAGAACAGCCTGGTTGATTGTCAGCGTATGTCGAGAAGGTTTGCGTTTGTTTCGTTGGTATCGTCGTATTTCGTTTGATCAGGATCGTCATTATTCCACCAGCTGTCTCAATGCCTAAAAATAATGCCATAGTCTTACAAGCTGTCTAAGAGAGTCATGAATATTCAGCTAACCGGGGTGCTATTCTTTCGAGGTGTGAAATTCCATAAACAAGGGATCTAGATATTTGATTAAATGATCTCTTGTTTACGTAATTTCACACTTTTAATAGTGGAGAGTTTTTGTGCAAGCAAATACGTACACGTAACGTTTCTTTTTGACATATAAGCATGCGCATTAATGGTTAAACTAACGTATCTAGAAACATATTACCTAATGTAACGGGCTGATACGTTACGTTCATACGCATCCCTATCGAGCCAAAAGTCACCGAATGCACAAGGGGATCTTACCCAATTACCAGAATATTAACATCCACATGCCATCAGCCCACGTGGCACGTATTTTTTCACATTTTTGGTTAAGCATATATTGTTTTGATTTTTATAAATAATGGAAAGCAGTAGAAAACGACTTCACTTCAGCAATGAAGATTATTTGTTTTTGCTGAAGGAAGGTGGAATTTAATCCAAAAGCGAAAAATATTTTTACATTGTATATCAGACATGGTATCTCAATTAAAGCGGCCGTATAGTTGTGCAAGAGGTTAGGCAAGAGTGCAAGAGGCAAACATGTTACTTATATTAACTTACCTAAAGATAGGGGAGTAACGTCAAGTAGCAATACATCTTTTACTGTTTCGTGAGTATCTCCATCCAAAATTGCAGCTTGAACAGCCGCACCATAAGCTACAGCTTCGTCAGGGTTAATAGATTTATTGAGTTGTTTTCCTAGAAAAAATACAGTATACAATACAGTATACATATATGTTTGATACTTTAAAAAGAAAAGTTTTTGTCATAGGCTTACTTAATAAGTCGTCACGTTTAAAGCTTTGCATTTGGTTTTATTTTTTTAAAGAAATCCTTTTGCTGATAAATTTTGTTATATATATATATATATATATATATATATATATATATTATATATATATATATATATATATTAATGTGATATTTAAAATCTTAGTGCGCCAAGCAATTAATTAGTAGCAAATCAATTAATCAATTAATTAATTAATTAAAAATATTTAAATGATATGATTATGATTCTATCACACTTTTTAATTCTCTTATCTCAGGGTTATATTCGTGCTTCAATATCTATGCTTTACATGTGAAAGGTAAGGTCCAAAGAATACCGGAATAATAAAAAAACATATATGATATAACATTATATATTGAAATAAAAATAATGAAATAAAATTCACACTCAAATGTTTTCAATAAACAATATCTCATATAATGATTCTCAAAATTTTGTTCTACGTACGTGAACCTTCAAAATTAATGGTACAAACAATATTTGTTAAAATCTCAAAATCCCAATTAATATTCTAAATCTCCTAATCAAAATATTTATATCTTTTCTAAAGTAATTGTAAAAATTGTGTTATCAATAAAAGAAAAACTGCAGAAAAACAAAACTACTCTCTGATGATGAATGGTCCAAATCCTTGTTCCTTGTAGCCTATACTATCTATTCTTAGCAGCTTCCTAGATAATCAGCAATCTTACAACAAATTGTTGCAAGTTTATCGTCCTTAATGATCTACTTAAAATGCACGAATCGTTCAAATTATGCTAGCCTCTTCTCCTCTCGATAAACTGAATCTCTCGTTGGCCTGAGTGAAAAATGACTCTTGGAATATCTTCTCTTTACGATAAACTGAATCTCTCGTTGGCCTGAACAGTGACTCTTGGAATATAAGTAGAAAAATATGACTTACAATCTTTTACTGGATCAGCTTCTGTCAGATACACTAACTACACGAAAACTCACAAACTTTTACTGCTACTGCTTCCTACCTCTGGGAAACTACCCGAGAACAACGGCCGTTCGCCTTGCACCCTTGGAAACCAACTGCCTATATTTTTTTCTTCAAAAACTAACTAAAGTCTCATTCTCAAACCAACCATCCCACCTCTTTTCAATCTGATCCAATCAAAACGCGTCATACATCTCCCATTTCTTCATTTCGATAACACAAACAAATTTTTACCTGCCATTATAAAATTTCCGAACATTATTTACAAACTAATCTTTTTCTACCAATTCTTATGAACTAACAAAAAATATCTTTCTAAAATCTATTCTATTGTCCTAATTACTGCACAAATTTATTTGAAAAACCCGCTTCCATTGTCTAGGATTTCACTTAAGCTTATTCACGTCACTCAAATATATTTTAACAAAGAAAATAATTTATGCATATCTTACGTTTTGTTCAATATAAGTAATCCAAAGATAAAAAGACTTTCATTCTTCGAAATGTTTGTAGTTTATTATTCGACTTATCTGAATTATTTTAATTTTTTTTGAACTTTGAAATATTTTAAGCAAACCAATATTTTTCTCGAGTTTACATATCATAACAATATATATATATATATATATATATATATATATATTATATATATATATATATATATATATATATATATGTATATATATATATATATATATATATATATATATATATATATCCAAACTGCAAGGGATTTATTTTACCTTCAAACAAGTTTGAAAGAATGGTCTGCACTCTCGGAATTCTAGTACAGCCTCCAACCAGCACAATTTCTGAGATATCTCTCTTACCGATCTTAGCATCTTTAATAGCTTTCTCTACAGGTTCTATCGTACGTTGAAATATATCGTGGTTTATCTAAAAGAAGTAATCATTGATGATTTAGTAAATAAGGAAAAAAACTTATAAGCTAACAAATATTTTTGTGTTTTATAAATGAAAATTAATATGTGGGATGTTAAATTCTTTTAAAGTCTTTAATTGAATATTATTTCTCTTTTTCTACATCTTTTGTTATTGTATTGTATTGTTTTTCTTTTAAAGAGTACAACGGTTCTTCTGTAGGGGGTTCTTTTTATGTTTTCAATGAATGCTAATTTTTGATGTCAGTAGTTTATTACTAACAGTCTTTATAAACAGTTTTTAAGTATATACCAGTATGTATGACCGGTTCTGACATATAGAAATGAAACATAGATTTTTTCGAAGTAGTCGACAGATTTGTATACTTGGGCTCTCTGATAACCAACAATGGTGATTGTTCCTCAGAAATCAAACGTAGACTAGGAATGGCCCGAACCGCAACTGCTAAATTAATTAAAATATGGAAAGACCGAACAATAACAAGGAATACTAAGCTTAGGTTGGTCAATGCCCTTATTTTTCCCATTGCTACATATGCAGCTGAAACATGGACTCTCAAAAAAATCGATATGAGTAAGATCGAAGCCTTCGAAATGTGGGTATATAGAAGAATTCTACGCGTGTCCTGGACAGAACATAGAACCAACCTGTCAATTCTGGAAGAGCTTCATATAAAAGACCATGGAACTATTGGTAGTAGAAGGTAAGGTAGAAGGCCGAAGACCAAGAGGAAGATCTCCAATACGATGGGTGGACCAAATGAAGAGTTTGGTGGGAAAATCCCTACATGAAGCCGTCCACATGGCACAAGATCGCAGTCAATGGAGACAGCAGACTAATAATATTTAGGGTGTCACTACGCCCTGACAAGGGCTAAAGGATTGAGGAGGATATTGATTAAAAACTTGGTAATTATTTTAAAATTACTACAAACAAAACAGAAGAAAATGAATTAAGAGAAGGACAATTAATAAGTATTTCGATAAAGGCATCTGGCAATGTAAACAAATGTTTTTTTTTTCAAAGATTTTAAGATGCAATATAAACGTAATGTTTATAAGAAAATCTATTTCGAATATTTAAGTCTATGGCACAAATTGGGTCCTTTTACAGGATGGGACAATAAAAATGGTACAGAATAACGAAATGTGAAAATAGGGATGCTTACTAATTTTTTATAGAATAGTCCAGAGATATAATCCCTAGGAAACAGAACAAAAAGAAGGCCCTGTAAAAGATGGATAGATGACGTAAAGAGGGATCTTAAAACCATGAACATCAGGCAGTGGCGAAGAAAACTATTCGACAGGACAGAATGCAAGAACATCGTTAAGCAGGCCAAGAATCATAAAGGGTTGTAGCGCCATTAGAAGAAGAAGAAAAACTAATTTTTTATAAACATCTACACTTTTAAACGTCAAATATTCAAAATATTCACATGACTCACCTCTTCAAATTTTGCTCTGGTTATATCCGAATAAAGATCAATGCCTTCGGCAATAGAGTCTATTTCTATTGACGTTTGCGTAGCTGATGACAAAGTTCTTTTTGCTCTTTCACACGCACTTTTCAGTCTTCTGATTGCTCGTTTATTCTTTAATAGATCGACCTTGTTTTTTCTTTTGAATTCTTCAGAAAAATACTGGACCATGCGGTTATCTATGTCTTCACCTCCTGTAAAATATTTTTAAGTTCTTTTTTAATAAGAAGTAAAAGGGGGTTGTCACAGTACAATTGAGTCAGTGAAAATAATGAACTTAGAAAATCTGTGATTATTATACATGTTTCTTTGTTTTTGTTTTGTATTATTAGGCACACTGCTTTTGTCTAGGAGAAGATGATAAGAATGGCAAAGCTACACATGTACATTTCCTATATTGTTGACTAATTATTTCAAGACTTTTAATGCCATATCATTGTATGTTTCTAAATTCAGTATAAATGTTTACGATGGAAAACAGTTAAACTTTTAGGGTTTCATTACAACAAGGTGTTGACATCATTTCTATAAAAATACATTAGAATGCTCCGCCTATTACACCACTTTTCACCGCTGTAGGAAGCAAAGTAGGGTAAATTTCACTCTGAATGTGATTTGTTTGGTTAGTCAAACTGTAACTACTATAAAAAAAATAATATGTCAATGAATTATACATAATATGTTCAATAAATAAATGGACTGCAGAGAGATTTCAAAATCTGCGATTTGGTGGATGCGCAGGTGTCTTGTGAGAGGGTTGAATGAATAGAATAGTATGACAAAGAAAAATTAAACAATTAAAATGAAAAAAACCTACATAGCAACCCTAACATAACGATTTTCACCACTCATCAATACACCTGCTTCATCATCTACGTTATAAAATATTTTGTAGAACTTCTCGCCACTGCATTTTATATTAGCTGTATGTAAAATGCTAAAAATAAAATATGGGTAAATATTTACCTAAATGTGTATCTCCTGCAGTTGATTTCACCTCGAAGATACCTCCAGATATAAGAAGAATAGAAACGTCGAACGTGCCTCCACCCAGATCAAAGATCAGCACATATTTGTCATCGTCGCCTTTTTTATCTAAACCATAAGCGATAGCTGCAGCTGTGGGTTCATTAATGATCCTCAGTACGTCTAATCCAGCTATTGTACCTGCATCTTTAGTTGCTTGTCTTTGACATGGAAATATGTTAAGATAATAAAAAAATCGTAAAATAGTTTCGAAACACAATTCAGATTTCTGCTTTAGGTATAATCTGAGCCTTCTAAAAATTGCAAGGCAAACAGACGTTGATAAAAGGTGTTAAAAGAGACATGGGATATCTAAAATTTGGATTCCACGACATGTATTTTACAACTAAGCAGAAATCCTTAGCGAATTGTGCTTCTAGTACTCACACAGAGTAAATCCGAAGTAGATGTCGCAGTAGATGTCGCTACTGCGTTCGTATTGAAGCCATGTTATTGTTGCTTCTTAAAAGGCAGAAAATATTGATTTTTCACGTTGAGGACTCCTATGAATAGCTCTTCTGACGAGACCTATTAGATCGAAATACGTATCAAGAGATACATAGGATTTGTTTGCGTGAAATCAAATATTTGCTGCTTTTCTTCATTTTATTCGGATTTACTCTGTGTGAGTACTAGAAGAACAATTTGCTAAGGATTTCTGCTTAGTTGTAAAAGACATGTCGGAAGGAAGGAATGCAAATTTTAGATTCCCCATGTCTCTTTTAACATCTTTCAACGTCTGTTTGCCTTGCAATTTTTAGAAGGCTCAGATTATAAAGCAGAAATCTGAATTGTGTTTCGAAACTATTTTACGATTGTTGTAATTAGATGTCGCTACTGCGTCCGTATTGAAGCCATGTTATTGTTGCTTCTTAAAAGGCAGAAAATATTGTTTTTGCACGTTGAGGACTCCTATAAATAGCTCTTCTGACGAGACCTATAGGGTCGAAATACGTATCAAGAGATACATAGGATTTGTTTGCGTGAAATCAAATATTTGCTGCCTTTCTTCATAATAAAAAAAATAACGAATTTTAACATACAATACAGGAATCCTCTTAATATTATACTGTATAATACAGGAATCACTAACAGGGGAATTTTACTGTCATTATTGTAAACTCTCCCACTAATGCTCCTGTATGACGTAGGTATAGTGAAGCAAAATTACTTCAAATAGAGAGACATCTCACTCGGGTTTTATTATAAATAAAGCCATCTTTAAAAAAATCGTCCTAGAAATTCACCTGGGAAACATTGGCAATATCATTTAAAATCATAGAATTTGAAATGTATAATAAATGTCTGAATTATCAACATGAGTTAGTCAATTGAAATTAAATTATTAGAAGAATTTATTTATCAAGTAACAAAAAACAAAATTTGTTTTTTATTTTGAGAACCATTTTCAAAGCGAAAACGTCAAAATAAACTTATTTTAAAGTAAAATTATGGCTTATTTCCAATAAAATTAATAAAGTGTATTAATATTTTTCATTTCCTATATTTAATGGAAATAAAAAGAGGCCTTTGTTCACTTGTGTTGAGTATCTTATTACTTAGCTACAAAATACTAAATCTTATAATAAAAGTGAAACATTTTGTGTATGTAAATGGTATTAAAATTTTTATAAATCAAAATACCTTTGGGAGTCATTAAAATATGCCGGTACTGTTATCACAGCCCTCGACACGATATACCCTAAAAACGCTTCAGCTGTCTCTTTCATCTTCGCCAATATCATCGACGAAATTTCTTCCGGGAAAAAAGTTTTGGTCTCTTTCTTGTACTGAACCTTTACCTTGGGCTTTCCATTATCGTTGATTACGTCAAAAGCCCAATGTTTGATGTCTTGTTGCAAAACTGGGTCGTCAAATTTTCTCCCTGTAGAAATATTAGAATTATAATTATAATTTTTATACAGTGCTAGTCAAAAGTCCGTTCCCCCCCCCCCTCGTATCTTTTTAACGGTTATTGTTATAATAGCGAAATTTGGAGGGAGATAATAAACAGACGTAGGCTTCTTAACTAGTCATAACAGGTGACGTAGTAGTGACAGATGACGTTACAGCGCCACTGTGACAGATAATTTTAAACGGAACATTATAGCAAGTGATACCTCGTTTGAAAGGTATTAAAATACCTATTAAGTCATAATAATTTTGTTTAAGTTTAAGCTCATTTTGATAAATAAATTCAATAAATACTAAAATTGTAGCTTCTCATTTAATTAATAAATATTTAACAACCACTTCTTATAGTAAGTGTTCAAAATGTGCTACATCTACTTCCTGACAGTAATGCATTCTATTTCTAAACTCTTGCCGTACTCGTTCAAATGTTTCAGAGGAAATTGCCCTACATTCTTCAACAATTCGTTGTTTCAAATGTCAATATTGTCGGTTGCTGTAGCGTAAACTTTAGATTTCAAGTATCACCACAGAAAAAAAATCTAATGATGTGAGGTCCGGTGACCGAGCTGGCCATTCTATCGTACCTCGTCGTCCAATCCATCTACCACGATATTCCTCATCTAGGTAACGTCTTACTGCACCATAATGGTAGGCAGGAGCACCATCTTGTTGAAACGTTATTTTCAAGTTGCCGAATTCATCTGAATCATCCTCCAGAATTTCAAGTATTAATGGTTCAATTGCATTTTGTAACATCTCCAGATATACTTCACCGGTTAAGTTAGTATTGAGAAAAACAGGCCCAACTATGTGGTTTCCCAAAATACCTGCCCAAACATTTATTTTTTTTGGAAATTGAGTATGTGTTTCACGAAAGACGTGAGGATTTGTGTCACTCCAATACCTCACATTGTGTGTGTTAACATTTCCACTGAGATAAAAAGAACTTTCGTCACTAAAACAAATTGTTTTTATGTAATTGGGCTGTTGGTTAATTTTATTAGATATATTTTCACAGAATTCTAGTCTTCGGTCGGGGTCATCATCTGCAAGTTGGTTTTAATTTGTATGGATGAAGTTTTCATTCGTGGAATGCAAATTTTAGATTCCCCATGTCCCTTTTAACCTCTTTTATCAACGTCTGCTTGCCTTGCAATTTTTATAAGGCTCAGATTATATGCAGAAATCTGAATTGTGTTTCGAAACTATTTTACGGATTTTGTTAAATATATTTATATCTATACGGATTAAATAACCCTGTATTAAATTTTACTTTGTATGCTTCAACGATATACAGAAAAATATACTGTTAACCTTTTCTATCTAACAAAATAAGAAAAATGTACCATCCTTAACGTACATACTTTCGAAACGAAGCTATATTGATTATAGAGAATATTTCATATGTCAGCTAAAGCAACTATTTGGCTTATGAATTTAAAGTCAAGACATTTCTCACTCGTGTACGAAAGGCTGACATATTTTAGAGAGTACATATGTACATGTCAACGATGCGATGCTTCAAAAAATTCGAGAACAAATTGAACTTTTGTACAACATTACATAGATACAAAAATAATGAGAATAATTATATTATGTTATATAAAAGAACATAAATAAGGAAAATAAAATGCTTTTTTCGCGACATTCTTTGATATAGGTACCTAACAACTAGTTTGATAAATTTGTTGGTAATAATATCTAATAAACAAAACCAGTAAATCAGTTAACGTCATTTTTTACTTAGAAACTGAAACATGATTAAATACTAATAGTAAAGACCGGTAAAATATATGGAAACAATATATGTGACACAATTTTACTGCAAAAGCATAGAAAATCCTTTAAAATGAGAGTTTGTATAGTTATTTTCGTTAATTTGTTGCACAATTATTGCAAAAATAGCTTTAAAATACGATTTTTTTTTGAAAATTTTTGAAAATGAGTTTTCTGAAAATTTTCTGAAAATTTCTGATTTCGGATTCAGATCTGTGATACAGTCTAATGACTATATCGTCAGCATGACGGATGTTATTTATATTTTTTCATTTTTCTTGATCCCTTCTATACAGTTTTCAAGTGCTTGCATAAATAACTCTTCAGAATATATATTAAATAGCAATGGTAAAAGTACGCAGACCTGTCTCACTCCTCTACTTATCTGTTGCGCATCCATTATATTTCCATCTAATGTTATCTCAGCCTGTTGGTTCCAATCGAGATTTCTCATTATGTTAATGTCATTTTTATCGAGACCTTTTCTCTTTAGGCATTCTATAAGAATGTTATGTTTAACTTAAGAAGAAGAATCAGACAACGCTACAAAAGAAGCTGCAACTAGTGATGATGCAGAGTGAACTGAAACATTTACGGGTGCGGACGTGAATGCAGCGATCAAATGTAAAGTGCGTTATATGTGGGAAAGTATCTTCAACCAAGCTATGTGATAGTAAAAAATCGATAAAACCTTGGCTCACATTACCAACAAGTCAGAAAGACCAGGTAATATTAACGCGATTAACTAATAGCCATGTGTTTTCCACCAAACAAGAACCAAGATGTGACAACTGTGAAGAAAAGTTAAAAATCAAGCAATTATTAGAGAAATCAGATATGCAGTCAAACGACGACACCTCGATCTAAAAGTTAAAAACATGAGCTGGCTAATCAACAGAAGATCGCAATTTTCATTAGAAAACAAAATTGCCTATAAAGCAATACGCAAACCAGTGCAGACATATAGAATTGAGCTGTGGGGCTGTAGTAAACCATCCAACACCAAAATACTACAGACATTCCAGTCAAAAACTATTGGTATGTTAGCTAAAGCCCAATGGTATGTATCAAACTAATCACTTCATGCAGACTTCAACATCTCCTTCATCAATGATGTGATTGCTGACTACTTCAGAAGATACATAAATTGCAGCGCAGATCATCCAAACCATCTCATAGATGAATTATTCAACCCCTCACTGATTGACAGATATCTAAAAAGACTTTGGCCAGAAGACCTAGCTGCCAGATAAATTCCAGAGAGTCGTCAATGGACCTGTCAAAAGCCAAGAACATACATGATATTTGCTTATTACTGCAATTAAAGTAGATTGTAAATTTTAATAAACTTAAGAGAAATAATATATTAGAGAAATATCCAGCATTAACGCCAAATCACATACAAACACTTACTTAAATGTAATACAAATTATTGTTCGCTATCATTGTTTCGCTAATAGCCAATATTATCAATGAACAGAATAAAAAAAAATGATGATTAATGAACAGAAAAATTAGCAAAGCTCGAAAGAGATGCTAGATACATCATCAAACTAAACAAGAAGCTGAAGAAAATGAAAGTAATAAAGCTCTGAGAGAAGACAGGATCGTTATACAAGCCGCAAAAATTGGTGAAGAAATATCATTTTAAATTAGATGATTATCTTAGATTAGAATAGATGATTATATTAAATTAGATGAAAATTAAACTATAAATTAGAGGGTTTTAAAAGGCTATTTTTAATATTTTTAAGGTGCATTCCTAAGACGACTCTATTGGAGCACTCATCATTACATTTTCTTTAGCTGGAGCATTAACGGAGCATACTTACATTTTCTTTAACCTTCAGCCGGACGCGCCGCAGTAATTTGCTGCGTAAACTCAATATTTCCAGGTGAAGTTTTAACGGGATACGCTATGTACGTGATATTTTTAAAATTCCCTTATCGGTTAATCCTTAGTCGGTACCCATCATCGTCTTATGAAATTCAAATCCAATTAGTTAGTTATCGTACTTTATTGTGAATAGTCTATAGCAAAGTTGTATTTTGACATCGGAATTTGAGACAAAATTAAATATAATTAAGCAGATAGCAGTAAACAACGGATACAACGAACAAACAATTAATAAAATGTTAAATCAAAAACTACACAAGAAAGCCCTGAAATTAGTATTTCCACCACCAGAGAAAAAACTCAGTACCTTCTGCTCGATTACATATACAGGCAAAATAACAACAAAAATTGCCAAACACATAAAAAAGAAAGGAATAACACCAGCTTTCCAAACAAATAACAACCTAGGCAAATATATTAAAAATAACAAGAGCCAAAATAAAAAACACTTAAATAGTGGTGTGTACAAACTTGAATGTGGCGACTGCCCAAAAACTTACATCGGTCAAACTGGTAGAAACTTTGATAAACGAATAGCAGAACATAAAAGGGCTTTCAAGAATAGAAAAACAGATTCGACATACGCACTTCACCTTCTAGATCATAATCATTCTTTTAATAACAATTTTAAAATTCTTCACATTCAAAATAAAGGCCTTAAGCTATCTTTGTTAGAATCTATGGAAATCAACAAATTAAAAAACACAGATATAATTCTGAATGACCAACTTAAGACAAACAGTTCTCCCCTCCTCAACCTATTTCATTAGAGACTATAAATTTGTAAACCCAAGCCAAAATAGATCACTTGAGAAAGGCAATCAGTTGAAACAGCTGTAGTGATAATATTTACAATTAATTTTGTGGAAGTTTGAAAACAAAGTTTTCAGTGTTTTATTGTTACATAGAGGAAAAAGATGGCACAGGGATTGATATTGTTCGAGCAGTAATGAGCTACAAACGTTTCCTATTTATTGCACGTTTATTAAGATTTGATGATAAACATACAAGGAGTGACAGATGTAAAATATATAAGCTGTCGGCCATTAGATCGTTTTTTGACAGATTTATAAAAAATTGTTAAAACTCATACAATTTGTCAGAGTATACAACAATTGATGAAATGCTAGATCCCTTTAGAGGTAGGTGTAGCTGTATACAATATATACCCAACTAATCTGCTAAGTACGGGATAAAAATCTACGCGTTATGTGATGCTCAAATATTTTGTACCGCCAATTTAGAGATATATTGCGGTAAACAGTCAATTTTCCCATACGACGTATCACATTCGGCAT